TATTGTTAAAAACTCATACCTACATCGAAAATATTAGCCATGAATTACACTACCGAAGAAAAAGTATTGACGATTAAATGGTATTATCAAGGAAATAGTTATCAAAAGGTGTCGGACATGCAGGGCCGTATCTGGGGGGGTGTTTTGGGGGTTCAAACCCCCCCCGAAATTATGGCCGAAAATTTTTAAAAAGTAATGATCATCAAGTAAGTAAGTAAGGGGGAAAAAAAGAAGAAGAAGAAGATGGATGAATATCAATGACTAAAGAATACAAGGACATGTAACGCCCATATACGGGCTGTAGCAGAATTTGTGACCTTATACGCCAACTTTTTAGACATAACGACATCATCAGCGACAATTTTAGCGATTTTTAATAGTTGGTTGTGTGTGGTGAACTTTGTATAAACTTTATTACAATGGTAATTTGTTCAGCTTTCAAGTGTAAAAGGCGCAATGATAAGAAAGAGCCAGGAGTTACGTTTTATAGGGAAATAAACAGTCCCCTACACCTTTTTAGCGTTTTTTTTTATTGAATTCGATAATTATTTTTCTGATATTATATGTACTTGATATGTACTATACGTCGATACTAGTTATGTACTTTTTGTCAGCATTTTAATACGTATTTTTCGTAATTAATTAGTATGATACCACCCGATACACCATAGGCGTAGTGAAAACATATAATATCAAAAATATAAATATCCCTTCAAGCGGCAATGTTAAGTAAAATATTTGTTGGAAGTTGGAAGAATATGGCACTGTTTGGAAGAATGGTCACAGTTTGGTCTCGGGTGCTATTTGTCCTTGTATTCTTTAGTCATTGATGAATATACATTATACACCCTAACCTCACTTTTTCACTTTGAAAGCAAATGTCATTTTCGACTTTCAATATTCAAGTGTTTAAAACAGCAAAAGTTTGACAAGGACAAGATTTTGAATGTTGTGTGTTTTGCTGGTCATTAACGTGATTAACGTTTGTTATTGATCTGCTATTAGACAAAGAATTCTTGGACTATGACACTTTAGCGGCAGAACTAGACTGGCAGCAAAAATGGAAGCCGCTACCTGCAGTCGACCGACCTAAAAACGCCATCGAAACGATAATCGGAGTGTAACCAGTGTATATTTCCAAATATATACATTTTATTAATGATCTTCGCAACTCTACCAGTGTCAACAGCTACACCAGAAAGGCCTTTTTCAACCCTAATGCCGCAATCGCACATGCGGTATTCGGCGATCTCCGATCGGGGCTTCGCCAATTTCCTATGTGAATGGATGAGGAAGTCGGAGTTCAGCGACGAGAACGAGCGATCGTCTCTATGTTGTTGCTATCAGAGCCCGCATGTATGGATGGAAAGGCGAAGTCCGATCACGAGCTTTCGGTAGTTGACGAGCGCTCGGAGTTCGCTAAATGCCGCATGTGCGGTTGCGGCATAAGACGATTGAAGGCAAATACGTTTAAATAAAATATACGGAGGGTACCGCTTAAATTCCTGTCCCGATATTGAAGGATGGCTATAGAATTTCAATGCATTTCCTACATAAGTCTATCCTATATGTGTTGTAGGAGGTTTGACTAAACAAGGATGAACTTATGTCCTGAACCATTCAGACTCGATTTTCTGTCCTTCAATACTGGGACGTAAATCCTCTCATTGCTCTTATGGGGAGGCCGTCGTATATTTTAATTTAAACGTATTTGATTGAAGGACTTCCTACGTAACTCTATTATGCGTACATAGAGAAATAAATATCGATATCGAAGAGGTAGTCAATCGTTTTTCCAGGGAAAAGACCAGTTTATCCTTTAAGATTAATAATCTTTACCTGTTACTTTTTTAAAATTTTATTTCCAATTAAGATTTGAGTGTAGCCCAAAGCGATTTTTTTATTATGCTTTTTTCCTAGCCGAAATTTTGGTCTAGATACGGCCCTGCGGACATGTTTGCTGTTCTGTATCCGAATAGACCGATACCTGGAAAATCTACAATCGCAAGGAATATCCAGAGATTTGAGACCAAAGGTACCCTAATAAATAACTGCAGATGTGAAGCAAGGCAGGAACAAAGAGAAGATGCAAGAAATGATACTGACTTGGAAGTTTTATTGTGCGTGGAAGAGAAGCACAAGGGAACTTGAGGATGAAATAGGAATAGATCACACTACAGCGTTTCGAATTTTGAAACGACATGAATACTATTCCTTCAAATATGAAAAGCACCAAGAGCTACGAGATGGGGACGAAATACGGCGGCAGGCGTTTTGCTTTGATATGATGGAAAGAGCAAACACGGATAGGGAATTTTTAAAAAACATATGTTTCATTGATGAATGCACGTTTACCTTAAATAATGAACCCAATGTTCAAAATTATCGATATTAGAACAAAGAAAACCAACACAGGTTTGTCGAAACAAGGACGCAATATCCAGAGAAAGTAAATGTTTGGGCAGGGACATTCGGACACAATATTATCGGGCCATTATTTCTTACGCGAAATTTAAATGCAGAATATTATTTGGAACTAAACTCATATTTTGCCTGCTTTACATGATGCCGCTAGGGAAAATCAGGAAGTTTGGTACCAAATGGATGACTGCCCGGCACATAGTACCCTGGCTGTTCGAGAATATTTAAACAATAGTTTTAACGGAAACGTTATTGGTCTAAATCATACAGTAAATTGGCCAGCAAGGTCTCCTGATATTTCGCCAAATGATTTCTTTGTCTGGGGCCATTTAAAAAACAGGATATACAAGGATAAAAAATGCCCAAATCAAAAAGAGTTAAAAAAATGCTATTTCTGCCGAATGCAATAGAATTTCAGTTTACCAACTAGTTAATGTAAGAAGAGAATTTTATGATCGCCTGGGTTATTGTCTAGCAGTCGATGGAGGAATATTTGAACATCTTCTTAAATCCTAAAGTTCTAACATAGTACCTAAATTAATAAGTTATTGAATATTGTAATAATACTATAATTAACCTTGTAATTGATTACTTTATTTTACTTTAATTCATATTAATTTGTATTTATAAATACATCTTTAAGATTTCCGATGTAGGAATGAGTTTTCAAAATAATTAGGGAAGTCAATAATTGACCCCATTAAAATTTACATGGGATTTCCTATGTCCCGTCCGACGATGCAACACCCGGTATACTCGTGGTTTGGGGGCAAATTATTTTTTTTGCACAATATTATTTAGTACTATAGTGTTTGGTAGACATCTTGCACTTGCAAATTTTGCGATCTTGAATGCTGATTACGAGCAACAATTCAACAAATTTCGCGATATTGTCTGTTGTTTATAAGAGCAGTTAAGTGGCAGTTAAAATTTGGAATCACGTATGCTATTTACTAGACCGATTTGCGATATCATATGCTGTTTACGCGGCATCGTTTGGCCTAGAACCGAATCGCGATCATGGACGTTGTTTACAAATATGCGACAATCCGGCACAGCATTGTCCACTTTTCCATATTATCTTTTAATCAAAATATTTTAGGAAACAAAAATAACGTAATTATAAATATAAAAAAGGTATTACTTATATCAACAAAAATCGCCTTCTTAACAGCACTTGGGGACATAAATAAAGGGCCATTACTACCGCTTTCCCGTTCAAAATATTCTAATAAAGTTGCGATGAGTAGTTTACGGCTATTGAGCCATCTTGAACACTTCGCACTAAAAAAGGTTCTAAAAAGAACAATGTTTGACTGCACCATAATTATATTAGTTAGTTTATGTCAGTTCTTGGCACCATAACTATACTAAACGCCGTTTTTTTTCAATTGTACCGTGTGCGTCTCCAAAGTGGCTCACCCCTATAATTTTTTTTTTATTTTTTCAGTTAAATAATCCAAATTTGGTATGTTACTATATGACATAAATTAGGATTGATTGACGTATTCAGTTGTTTTCGGTCACTTCCTATTTCACCGGAAATGACTACAACTTTTGAATTTTAAATGGCACCCTCTTTATTTTTTTACTTTATTCGATAGAAAATAACACTCTGAATAGAATGACATATCATATGTCAACTTGATATTTTTACGAAAATTTGACTCGAAATATCATGTGTGTGGTATCAAATTATTCGCAAAAAAATGCTTTTTCCAAATATGCTAATGAGCCACCCTCGTTCCATTTAAAAAAATTGAGATATGGTTAAAAATACTTACGATTTGAACGTCTTTTAACAGGCTAGGACAAGACACTAAAAATATTAGACGGTCAAATCTATTTTTCCAAGACTCCTTGATCAAAAAATGAGTGTTTTTAACATAGCCATGGCACTCTAGATTGAAATTTAAAATACGAATTTTTATTAAGCGAGAATGTCAACAGTTGCCATATGATCTGTCATTCTATTCAGAATGTCATTTTCTATCGAATAAAATAAAAAAATACCAAGTGTGCCAATTAAAAATCAAAATTTATAATGATTTCCGGTGAAACAGGAAGTGACCAAAAACTATTGAATACGTCAATCAATCCTAATTCATGTCATATACTGTCATACCAAATCTTTTTTTTTTTATCTGAAAAAATAAAAAAAGTTATAGGGCTGAGCCCTATAACTTTTGATACGCACCCGGTATGGTATCTATTTAGATTACTGTTATTAAATATTTTAGTTGTAGTTGTAAGGCATTTCTACCGGCCATATAAACAATGCATGTTAAAGAGTAATGGCACCTTAAAAATTAAAAAAAAAATGAAAATATATATTTTTGAAAGTTCTGTATTACTAAGGCACGCCTCTCTATACTATAAATTTCATCTCACATGCAGAATACACACACACACAGAAACACTAGGCTTGTTCCGTCTAAAATAAGCAGGATTCCACGCTATTCCGAGTTTACCTCCCTTTCGCAAAATAAACCTTTAGGACGAGCTGAACGACGACATGTTTTGACTGGAGCAGGACAGAGTAACGTATTATTGCAATAAAGTTGTTTTTTCTATTGTAGGAAAACACGCTCTAATAACGGTGCGTCAGCCCAAGGGACAGCTCGTGTCAATAAGGAGTCAGTCGATGTTGTACGGCACGGCTACTCCCAAGGAGCTGAAAGTCTGGAACGAATGCGACGACGTTCAAGATTACGTTACTGTCTACGATGGGTATGTTGTTTTCTATGTCGTAGCTCAAAATGTTGTAGTGTAACAACCCAAATTCGTCAACAAAGTTGAAGAGGTAATATTTTGGTCAACTGTATAACAAGAAATTTAAATGAAAGAAAGGAACCTACGTTGTGTTAAATATTTTTTTTTATTGTGATTACCTCGGATGCGCTTCGACAGAAGCAATATTTTGGGAAATCTAAGGAGAATAGGTTATGTAAATAAAACGCTAAATCTGTAAATAGCCCTACTTATTTTATTAAATGAAATGAAAGGAGTGCCGTACTCTGCCTGGAATTCACATGTAAAAGAGCACGGCAGAGAAAACCATGATCACTATTCCAGAGACTCTAACTATGCTGTCCTTAACTTTAATAAAAGAGAAATAATAATAATATAGAAGCTGTCCTCATACCAAGGTTTGTAGTTTTATACATTCAAAACATGCCACATTTATATCATTCAAAACTGAAGAGTGTTTGGTTAGTTAGCAGGTCGCCGCCTGCAGGTACTAAGGTCCTGGTTTCGGATCTCGAAGCTAAAGTTGAATGTTTGGTGTAAATATCTTAATATTATATTTATTACTTTTAGTTGCCCTCTGCGAGCTAAGATATTCGCCCAGTCACGGTCGAAAAATATTAGTACATTCAACAAGGCCCTTATTGTCACACTGAACCAAAAACATCGGCACGACTGGACAGGAAACGATTGTATTTAGATTACTTTAAAATTGAAATTATTTAAAAGCATAAATAGATTCCATTAAATACATACACATCTTATATGATATAATTCTCAGATGAAATAAACAAGGAAAAACTTTATTACAGAAAAATAAAATATATGCTAATGTTAACTAAAACATTAGTTAAATAATGAGAAACTATTTACTTTACCTTTACTAACATTCTTTGTCACAAAACTCAAGAACCAAATTAACAGCAATGCGTCTCGAATGGTAGTCTAAAAGCTAATCCCCTTACAACTATTATCTCTGGTCGTCGCCTGATTTCCCTCTCCCTACTTTTTCGAATAATATTATAAAAATCAATAATTTTTTTTATGTATACAGAGTGTCTTAAAACTGAATATTTTAGATTTAAAGAAATATGTCTATTTTTAAATAGGCGGTTCATCTCAATGTTTTTTACTAATATGAATCTTAGGATGTATCTAAAGTATGTCCCCGGATTGTCTGTACAAGAGGAAAAACTTTTTTATTATTGAGATTTTGAGAAAAATGCATTCTTCATAAAAAATTTTTGCTTGTTCTAAAATGGTTAATCCCGTTTATACTTTTCCAAATTTCCATACAATTTTAGAGAAAATTAAGAAAAACAAGAAAATTTAGTTGATTTAAGTCCTAAAAATCTAAACGCGTTTCTATGGTAATATCATTTCGTTTTCATTCTTTGATGGATTGTTATTCATAGAATTTTAATTAACGTAATATTTTTTATTGTTTTAAAATGTTAAAGAAGCACACAATTTATTTATTGAACTAAATAAACGGAAAGGGCGATTATAGCTATCGAAAAATACAACTTTCCTTCGGCTATTTGTTTTTGCGCACTTTTATTAGTTTAAACGTATTGAATGTAAATTTGGAATTGTCCAAATATTGGCTCCCCTATTGATTTTACAGCGAAGTCGTAAATAGTTTTTTTAAAAGTCTGGGTATGGCTGGAAACACACGTCAAATTTGTACAATTCCGGACAAGTCGTTTTTAACTAACTTAAGAAAAACTGCATCTATTTTTAAATTAAAACTGAACAGGTAACAATGCAAAACCAAGCAAATACCATCATACCTTAAGTTGTTAACTTATAATTTTGTCAATATCAAGTTCTATTTCCTAAACCTTAAAAGCCTTAATCCAATGTGAACGAGTTTTAAATTTCAAAAATGCATATCGAGTACACTGACTGTAGGTACTATAATAGTAACGTAGACAGCAAATTGCATTCACTCATGGGTTCACAATGTAAGGTATGTTGACAATTTCGGGTTTTGCATTGTTATCTCTATAGTTTTAATTTAAAAAATGTTTAAATTAAAACTAAAGAGATAATTAAAAAGTGCAGTTTTTCTAAAATTAGTTAAAAGCGGCCTGTCTGAAATTGTTCAAATTTGACATGTGTATTCAACATTAGTGGCCGGCCGTAGCTCCAGCGGTAATATATCCATCTACATAGAGATAGGTACTGGGTTCGATCCACAGCCAGTGCGGTCGCTTTATTTATTTAAAACAAAAATATTTATTTGTCTAAAAAGAGCGATCAGCGAGCCGCCATCTGAAGGAAGGCAATGGCAAACCACCTTATGTATATTAGTCTTGTACAGCCTCTCAAATAGTGCCGTTCGAACACTGATGACACACATCACAAGTACCTACATGCGAGAGGTAGCCGACGCTCTGTATAGAGTATGGCACTGTAAGAAAAAGATTCAACATTCGACTTCGCTGTGAAATCAACAGGGGAACTAATATTTGGACTATTCAGAATTTGCATGGGATTTCTTATGTTTCTAACGCCGCCGCCGCCGCGCCGATGCACTACCCGGTCCCGGTATATTGTTTCTCGTATTTCCAAAAAAAATTAAATTTTAAAATATTTATTTATAAATCTTTGAGTAACCTAGGTGAAAGAAAACTGTTGACTGGGCTTTTAAATTATTAATAAAAATATCCACAAGTAGATTAAATATCTGTATTTCACATTTAATAAATTACACTCTCGTAAATAACTATGAGTGCCTATGGAGGCATATAAAATATTTAATACCAGGGCAAATGAGAATTCCAAAGATTAATTTTAATATATTATATTAATTATATGTCAAAGTTCGCGCGCGAGTTAAAATAGTTTTAATTTTCAGGTAAATTTTAAAGAAAATTATTATTTGCCGTATAATTCTTGCCTGAATATAAAAATATAATGGTAATTTTTCAAATATCATACACATGCAGCATGTCCAAGATAAGAATGAACAGCATGTAAATTTCAGAAACTGTAAAAGATACAGGATCAGTTAATTAAGAGAAAAGTTGGATTTTGCTGAATCCTACAAGGTCATATTTAAATATCTAAAGATATCCGATGACTTCCGAAGATATTTTGGAAAAGCCGATTTTCCCGATTTTATTTTTATTTTATTTTTCTCTAAGAAATATGACAATACAAATTTTACATTCCTATTGCTACCTTTCCTTCTCTACAAGTTCATGCTATTAGATTTTCAATTCTACTATTCTTTTCCGAGATACCACCAATAATCTGTACTTATATCATAACCATAACATTGTCAGAAGTAAAAAATAATAATAAACTTTCTTTTTTTGAAATATTACTATATTTTTTCTTTCTATATTTTGAAAATATACACTACTGGTCACTTCATCTGCGTGATCTGTATTTTTATGCATGCGACAGAGATAAATGACCAGTTGACAGAGAGACAAAATAAAAAGCGGCATACAGTGTTGCCGGTTTTTGCGTTTGTAGGAAAAAGTGTGTAGAAAAAAATTAACTGTTTTAAAAACTTTCATGTGTAGGTACTACTGAAATGAAGATAATATATCTATCTAAATATTAGTATACTACATACCGAGGAGGGAAGTTTTTCATTACTGTCGAGAGATTAACTAAATCTCCAGACAATAATGAAAGCTTTCCTCCGAGGTTAGTATACTATTTTATTTACAACCACATTATTAATTAAAAAATAGGGACAGTATTTTATTTTGAAAAATTAAATTAAATATGCGAAAATTTGTCGTTTTCTGTTTTGGCATTTCCATATCTATAGTTACCGGTACCAGTGGTTATTATGGCGCAAACCTTCAACAACAAAACAAACAACTAAGTGGCAGTTTTGAATTTCACGTTCGCGTTTTCAAATTTATATACATACATAGAAAGCCAAATTGTCGGAAAGTTCTGATAATGAAGACTACTTTAATATTGGTACTCCACCAGAACTTACAGAAGCTACAAAAAAGCAGAAGCCAGTTTACTTCCTGAGAAAAGTAGCAGGCAGTAAAAAATAATAGCATTGAAAGTATACGAGTATACGAAAAATGGTGTGCCGAAAGAAATGCTAAGAATATTGCTTCGGAGACAGTCTTGATGGCATATTTTAGCGACATGGCAAGGCAGAAAAATCTACTTTTTGGGCTACGTACAGCATAATACGGACAATGCTAGAATTAAGGGAAAAGACTGACATATCAAAATATCACAAACTCGTCCCTTTTTTAAAACGCCAGAATGTAGGCTTTAATCCAAAGAAGTACATTAGAAGACCTGGCACAAGTCAGGAGTTAAGTTTTTGCAGCAGTGAAATCTCAATGAGTGAAACACATCATGAGGGTGGCCGCTTAACAATATCGATTAACGCGTACAATAAGTCAAATTTGACCATTAATTTCAACAAATAAAGGTGGCTGCAACGACGTCCTGTCATCCTGCTGTTAAAACATAACATCTGGTTTTTATATATAAAAATCAGTTGTTTTATTTTAACAGCAGGATTACGGGACGTCGTTGCAGCAACCCTTAATGTATTAAAATCTTCAATTATTATTGTTAATCTTCTTGTTTATTTTTGTTGATGTTAGATAAGTATTTAATAAAGATATTACAAGAATATTTTGCTTAATTAAATGAGGCGAGAAATAAGAAAAACCGAGTGAGTGAAATGGAAGAGGGAAGAAATGTAAATAATTTGATACTTTCAAATTTTATAAAAGTCAGTAATGTCAGTATTACATATATGTGGTTGTAAATAAAATCTATTACAGCTATAGTAAAATAAGTAACTAATTGGGTAAAATAAAGATTCGATGCAACATCATTTTTCATAAACGCCTATTGTTCGGTTTGAAATTTTGATGCACAATCCGGCAATACCGCATAGAAGAAATGTATCGACCCAACTTTTATCTCTTTTTAATACATTTGATTTTCCGTTAAGCTGTCGACATCACTGTCTTACACGTTGAAATCCAAACCACGTAGTTTCGATGATCAGATCGGTATATTAGTTATTCAATATTTTTTGTTTAAATAATATATTAATAAATTTTTCAATGTTTAGATATACGACAAGAGACGCCATCATTTTAAAATTTTGCGGAGGCGGAGAAGCAGTCCCAGAGGCTGTATCAAGCGGCCACGAGCTCTTAGTCGAGTTTTCTACTTCGCCTTACGGAACTTTTTTACAGCCAGCACCCGTACAAAGTTTGCACGGATTTCAACTGGAAGTTGAGGTAAGTGTTGCATGTCTTAATCAACATTTTCAGTCGTTTCCGTTTCTTCCCTTCTGTAAAAAAAGTAAAATTTAAATGGTTATACCATGATGTAAATATACAGGGTTAGTCTTAAATAAGTGCAAATATTTTCAGGGCTGGTAGATCTCGATAAAAAAAATATATTTTCTTTTTACCATTTTTGAAATAAGTTCAAAATAATCAAGTTATTTTACTTTGAAAATTGACAATAAAATATAGTTTAATTTTAAATATCTTAGAGATAATACAAAGAAAACTAATTTTCTTAGAAATACATTAAAAAACTCTAAGCAGTTTATCCATCACAATTGTTTTACCAGTAATATTATTCCGAGAACAACAAACTAAATACATTTTCGATATAATTCTTAATTTTACGGGTGGAAAAATATTATTGCAGCCTTTTTCGATTACATTCCTTGGATTTCTATTTATTTTAAATTGACTCTGAGTCTGCTTTTTTACCTTCTTTCCTAAAGTTTACTTCATCCCTACGGCTTTTCTGTTTTTCTTCGTTAACTACGGTTTCGCTTGTAATTTTCTCCGGCTTGTCGTGTTCCAGTCTATTTTTCCGGGTCCCACGGGAATATTTTGCTTTATTTGGGACTTGCATTTTCTTAGAAAACAGCTTTAAAAAAAATACACTAAAGCAATATTGATTTTCTGATTAAACACAAACGCTAAGACGTAAGTTGAAAATCTAAATACAGTATTTGAAAAAAAATACCAACATTCCATCAGCATAATCATCTCAAATGTTGATAAGGTCCTTAAGGATTTTCTAAATGCTCGTATGAATCCATTATTTTTAAATAGAGTAAATTATTCCATTACCCATTATTAATATTTCTATAGTCGTATATGCACTGGAAATAGTCGAAGAATACATATATTTGGGACAACTAATACACAGCTCGGGATCTCTACAACCAGAAATCAACTGAAGAATTAAGTGGGCATGGAGTACTTATGGATGAAATTCAATCATATTTAAATCTAGTATGCCACTTTATCTAGAGAAGAATACATTCAACCGATGTGTACTACCAGTGATGACATATGCATGTAAAACTTGGACACTTAAAACGGACATCATAAGGAAACTGCAGGTCGCACAACGCTTAATGGAACGAAATATGCTGGGAATGACCAAGAGAGACCGTAAAAGAATAGGGTGGGATACGACAAAAGATCGAGGTAATAGATATCATCCACAGAGTCAAATCCCTCAAGGAGCAATGGGCAGGACACCTGGCAAGAAGGTCGGATAACAGATGGCCACATGATGACCATTAATTAGACATTAAGAGATCTAGAAGACCGAACCTGAGGTGGAACCTTATGTGAGGGAGGCTACACCATATTTAGAAATGGCTGAATAGGCTGAAAATGATGATGATGATGATGATGCAATCATTATTATTTCGACCAGTCTTATAATTACTAATTTTTTGTAGATATGACTGTAAACAAAATATTTAATAACCACACTGTTAAAAATAATGGTAATGAATCTTGGTTCTTTGTATTAAAACATATAGTCCAAAATCTTGGCTCTTATTATTAAAATATATTTGAAACATTTTAACTAAAAGAATATAAATTACAGTTGTTTCAAATTACGTTATAATGTGCAACTACTATAATAGCGCCAAATATTGTTGAAAACTTAAACAATTTTCAGTTATCATGATTGTATAAGAAATTGCTTCTTCCCATGTTAAATTTGATACTACAAATATCTATGTAAATTGTAGTATTGTAATGTATATCGATGCATCGTTAGAAACAGGAAATCCAATGCAAATTTTGAACTATCCAAATATTGGCTCTCCTGTTGATATTACAGTGAAGTGGTAAATAGTTTTTTTAAAGTTTTACTTATACTGAATACACATGCCAAATTTGAAGAATTTAGAACAAGCCAATTTTAAGTAATTCAAGAAAAACAACATTTAATTTTAAATTGAAACTCAACAGGTAACAATGCAGAACCAGGCAAATGCCAACATACATAATTTAAAGTTGGGGGTTCGAACCATGGGTGTTTGGTTTGGTACAACAGTAAAATGAAACACCAAATCACCACAATACAGCAAAAACACTTTTACTTTTACATTGCACGCGCTTTTCGCTAACCATTTTAGCATCATCAGCAAATTATTAGTACTTTATTAATACTCGATTTCATTATAATCAAGTTTGAGTTTTTATCATCTGCTGATGATGATAATACGGTTAGCAAAACGCGCGTCCAATGTAAAAGTAAAAGTGTTTTTGGTGTATTGTGGTGATTTAGTGTTTTATTTTTCAGTGTACAATTACTTTTAAAAAATATTTCATTTTTTTAACTCTCAATTAATTGTAATACCTTATCAATTCTTATATGTAAGTAATGTAAACTTTTCTTAGGGAATAATTTTCAAGAATACAAAACTAATTACTGGAACAATTTCGATTTTGTTCCTCGAGTTCTATACATTATAAATTGGCTGTAAGCTTAATTTTTCAACTTATTTCCAAAGGTTTGCTTCGTCCCTAAGGCTTATCTGCTTTCCTATCCTAATACCGTTGTGCTTGTAATTTTCTCCAGCTTGTTTTGCCGTCTATTTGGCAGAGTCTTTCCACAATATTTTTCTTTATTTATAATTTGAATTTTCTCTAGCTCTAAAATATACACTGAAATGGTTATTCATTCCTTGATTAAAAAACGAAGCCTTAGAAAAATGGAGAAGATCGTGCAGAGGAATGGGAATACCACTTAACGACGAAACAACTCTATACAACCTTCACTTTACAGATGATCAAGTGGTAGTGGCCCAGGATAAGGAGGACCACAATTTATGACAACAAGACTTTTTAACGAGTATGAAAAGTGGGGGTTGTCGGTAAATACGTCTAAGACTAAATATTTATGTATAGGCCAAGCAGCAGAAACACTACATCTGAATGGAAATCTAGAGATAGGTGCATGCAGTAAATACACCTACCTTGGAACTCAGATAGACTATACTTGGCGAACAGAGAGCGAGATCGAGGAAAGAATACTGAAAGGTAAAAAAGTCATCGGGTGCCTTAACTTAGTATTATGGTCCAAACACATCTCATATGAGAAAAAACATATGTTTATGATTCCATCTATAAATAGTATATTTTTTCGAGATGGACTTCTGGCGAAGATCTGCGGGGATATCAAGAATGGAAAGAGTACCGAACGAAAAGATCAGGGAAAGTATGCATGTTCAGCAAACGATAATTGATGAAATAGAGAGAAGACAGTTGGTATGGTATGGACATGTAGAAAGAATGAGTGAGGACCGAATACCAAAGAAAGTTTTGAAATGGATACCATCAGAAAGAAGGAAAAACGGAAGGCCAAAAGCATCATGGATTGGAGGAGTACATAAAGCTCTGTCGGAGAGGGATCTTCATCCAGGGGATTGGGAAAATAGGAAAGGCTGGCAACTGGGTACCGGAAGGTACTATATATAGGTATATATATATATATATATATATATATATATATATATATATATATATATATATATATATATATATATGATTAAAAACAAGCTCTAAGAAAAATAGTTAAAATGGGAAAACTAAGCTACGGAATCTACAAAAGTTTTAAAATAATTTTACTTGGAAAATTCAATAAATTACCACATTACCCACTCTAAATTCAAATCGCCAGTCAAATATAAAACTTAAGAATCTATTACACTGTACTTTCGGGTCACTGTACTCTCAGGGGTCGGGTAAAGCGGGTGTGTGGCCGAAGGAAATATACAGGGTGTCCCAGAAATAAGTGTAAGTATTTTAAGGGGTGGTAGATCTCGATAAAAGAAGCATATTTTCTCTTTATCGTTTGTCAATTAAGTTCAAAATAACGGAGTTATTTTACTTTGAAAATTTCCAAAAAAATGATTTTTTGTTAAAATGTTGAGAACCACTGTGGATCTTTTCTAGATTCTCTTTCTTATAAATTTAATCTAATACCTATGTTGCCATATTATCAAGAAATTATGTTTTTTTAACTAAAAACTAAAAAAATTTTTAAAATTTTCGCACACAAAAAATCATAGGCGTGTTTCTGGGGTTGAACTATGCTACCAGTTAAAATATTTGCACTTATTTCTGGGACACCCTGTATATTATACTTCAGAAACTTCCCTAAGGCTTAACCCGATCCTGTCGTGTTAAGCCACATCCAAAATTCCAAACACACGTGCTTTGACTAAGGCTTGGTTTTTTGCAGTTTTTGAAGAGTTTGCAGAGCTTCAACATTTGCCATAAAATAGCGAGCAATTTGTTTCAAAACCATATCAATTATACAGGGTGTTTCAAAAAACATGCGCCATCTCTCGTGGGGCTTCTCACGTAAAAATAAGACTTGTTTTTTATATCAACACAGGTCCGATTCTGCTTTTTTTCGTAGCTACAGGGTGTTAAATTCTTAAAAAATAATCTTTAGATTTATTATTATTTTCTTCCAAGTACTTTTAGTGATTTTAATGAAATTTTGAGGTTAAAAGTTACAATAAGTGCTACATATTTTAATGCTAAAAAAAGTGTCAATAAATTCATCAGGGACGTGCATACGGATTATCATTGGAATAGTTTTCAAAAAAAAACATATTCGCCACTGACTTTTTTTCTTTTGATATTAAAATTGAGTAGGCCGTTTAATGCCAATCAAAAGTCGAGTTCGGCCTCTTTATTATTGCTATTAGTCCAGCATACAGCAATTTCAAATAAAAAAATAATGGTTCTTAACTTTATAAATAATAATTTGTAATGATAATGACAAAAAAAACATAATTTTTACAATTTTTAACATCCTGTAACTCTATAACTATGCATTTCCATTCACAAGTTTATAGGAACTTTTTTCATATTTTTTTTATGGGGATTCAATGAGTACTTATTTAAACCTTTTGCAAGTTAATGATATCAAAATTTTTTAAAGGTTGCCATTAGACTTGGATCAAGGCAAATTAATAAAATTGCGTTTATCTCATCAAGGAGGCCGAAATCGACAAAATATCAAGAGACAATTTTTAATCGGCACTAAACTGCTTACACTATTTCGCTAACAAGAGAAAATGAAGTCAGTGGCGTACATGATTTTTTTAGAAAAATATTCCAGTGATAACCAATATGCACATCCCTGGTGAATATGTCGACACTTTTTTAGCTTTAAAATATATCGCATTTATAGTAACTTTTAGCATCAAAATTTCATTCGAAACGCTAAAAGTACTTGGAAGAAATTATAATAAATTAAAAAGATATTAAGACTTTTACACCCTGTAGCTACGAAATAAAGCAGAATCGGACCTATGTTGATATGAAAAACAAATTTTATTTTTACGTAAGGAATCTACCCACGAGAGATGGCATATGTTTTTTGAAACACTCTGTTAGGTTAGGATGTTTTTGAAACACTCTGTTTTGTTGATGTTTCACCATAAAAATCTTCAAAATAAAGAAGTTGTCTAAAAATGTGCTACAATACGGGTACTATATCCGTATTGTTTACCTTTAATGTCCTTCTTTATTTGTGTAAAAATACCTACCCAGTTTTACATAAAACGTTAAATGCCAAACGCTTATTTTGCTACTTTTTCGGACTAGTGAAATGGACTCTTAAGGCTAAAAAGAGCCATTAAATTTGTGAGTCCACGTGCACTTATTGAGGAACTGCCACTGGTTCATAAAACTCCCAACTTTATCGATTTTATTGCCTTTTGATTTCGACTTCTACCGTCAAAATAAGTTAGAATCAATCCTCTAATAAAGTTAAGTACATAAAAGAAAATGCTATTTAATTTATCGTTTCTCTTAAATAATGTACAAGTCTCGTACAATACTCCGTACTCTTGTAATACTTTGCCATAGATAATAGATATCCTATACGTCTCTACCCATTACGAAAACCAGCAACGTTCGTTGCTTTGAATTATCTTGGGCATTCATTGTTTCCTCTTCTTTTATCTGCTAAATTATTAAATCAAATGGCATAACCTCGAGGCTTCCAAAATTTATGTTATTCTATTATGCAGCTCTCACTCAGCATTCCGAGCGGCGTGTCCTATAATCCAAGTCCATAAAATCCAAATAAAAACGTGATTTAGTAGAGAGTCCGACGTTGCAGTTGAGTGTGAAATATCTACGTAGCATTTTATAATAATTTCCCCGGGATATTATAAAATCTAGTTTGGGTGATCTAGCGCTGGTGATTTACTGAGAAATAAAAAATGATTTATCTAAATCCATTAATATAATAAGTTTTTTTTAACTTGTAATTATTTGTGTGATTGCACGAAGTAATGATTAAAACGGTGTATTTAAATAAATTGACAACGATTTTGTAAATTGCTATAATTGCATCCAATTTAATCCAGATACGTGTATTTTTGAGACATGAATAAATAGTTTTTGGATCGTAATATAAATTAAATTAATTTAAATATATAATTAGTAATAGTGTTATAGATATACCGATATGATCGAGAAAAAACGGCGTCTAGTTGATCTTGGAAATGATGATCGATGACATTCCCCGTATAATTTTACATATAAAATGAGAGCAATCATAATTTCATAGCGATCGTTGATGGCGTTTTTTTTTCGATCATATTGTATTTTTGTTTGTGTATGTTTTGTGTTTAATTAATGGATCTTAGAACATAGATATACAGAGTGTCCCAGGCTGAGCGTGCATTAGAAGTTTCTAGAAAACTACAATATCTAGATCGGAGATTTTTGGCACATCATTGTTTCATAAGAGATCTATCCACTCCCGGAAATACCTGAAGTTAACAGCAACTTTCTTAGTTTACTCAACTTACAACTTTCTAGTCTATAAAATTTTATGATTTTTTAAATCAAACACTCTATATCTAACATTAACTGTTTTTGAGAAAAAAAAATTAAAACTTATGGAGAAAAAAAACTGCCTGTCAAAAAAAATGGTATTGTCTAAACGACAAATTTAGTGATTATCATAGCCACTGTGATATAAACAGTGACACGTTGCAGATGTGACTATCTGTTTCAAAAACTTAATTGTTTAAATGTCATATAATATTGGCCGTAGCTAGAGGTAAAAAAATATCCTAAATCATTTTTTTTTCAAATGGAAACCTACTTACTAATAATGCGCAGAATGCACAGAATGCGCGTCCGGGTAGAATCTGCTAATTCTAAAGTATCTGTAAATATTTAATTATTCACAAAGAGATAATGATTTCTTGATTTCTATTGTTCACGATTAAGGACTACTAACTTTTGTTATTTTCACGGCGAATCAAGAATTCACAGTTCACAGGTATACAAATGAATGTGAATTCACGTTTTAGCCCAACTACCGTTAGTTACCTACCGTGATTAGTTTAACCTGAAGCAGCATGTTCATCGTTATTATGACGTACTGAATGGATTTTACTGGAATATTTTTTTTATTAATTTTTTTTTCAGGTAAAATTTGTCGACCAACAAACACCAACGTTCGTCAAACAAAAGCGAAACTGTGAATTTTGGCTTAGGGGTACCAACAGAGGCATTCTAGAGAGCCCTATACACTCACTGCCTGCCAACACGACATGCCTCTATCATCTCCAGGTTAGTAATGATATAATAATATGTAGAGCAACAAAAATCTATCACAAATTTTCGAAATAAAAAATTATATCACGTTTGCTTTATCTTAATTTAGTTTCAAAGTTAATTTATGTTTTATTTTTTTAGTGTTTTTAAACAGAAGTCCCTTATAAAATTGTGCTAAATACTTGTATCAGTATAGATGTATCAGTTCTGGAGACAATTTAAATCGTTTTTCTTTATTCTTTTTGTATTTTTGCTTCTGGCGCAGCGTTAAAAATGTCCGCATTTGATTTTTGATTGTCAAAAGTTTAAGAATCTTAGAGTTCTTAGAATTTAGCGTTTCTAGCGGTCCCACAAACATCATTTTTTTAATTTTAGTTGGCATTTACCTTGTAAAGAAAGGAAATGAGAAAAAAAAAGAAAAACGAAAAATCCTGAAATTTCAATATTTATTAAATGAAGAATAATGATTATTAAAAATGTAAAGTGTAATGTAAGTGTAATGTAAGGTAAAGTGTAATATAAGGTGCCCGGTGGCGTAGAGGTACAGACTCTCGTCTACCAATCTCAAGGTAGTGGGTTCGATTCCCACACCCGGCATTGCATCAGCCGACTATTTTTATTAAAATAAAAATAGTTTGGATACCTAGGTCGACTCAGCCTTAAATGAGTACTTGGGATTCACAATCCTGAGGTAATAATAGGCGGTTGAAGCGTAGTGCCACATTACCTTCCTTGTATACCGAACGGCTCTAGTATGGCAAGCTGTACCTTGCTACTCCCAAGGCGTTGGACGCTATATACGTGAGCTATTATTATTATTATATTTTAGATTTTTTTTTAGAATTTAGAATGAGTGGGAGGAGGTAATCACTTCGACCTTACAGATCCATTGTGTCCCCCTTTCTTGAATCATAACTCATCATACAGTCCCAGGGCTTTGACAAAAGCCAGTATCTGGGACGGTTTTATAGAGGGTAGTTCTCCATCTCCAATATCAGTCGTACCAAAATTCATGGCACGAATGGTTGTCGTCTCGGCGCACTCAGTGATGAGGTGTACTGGTGTTTCACCATCTTCCCCACAGAATCTGCATTCGCCGTTTCTTCTTAGTTTCAATCTACTGAGGTGTTCATTGAGGAGACAGTGTCCTGTTAAAAACCCCGTGACAATCCGATATTATTATAAAAAAATTATGTTAAAATAACACAAAAATTCCGACCGCAGGGCTGTATACGGCGGAAATCAGAAATTTTCGCTATATATTTTACGCCGTTCCGGTAACAGTTCATGTTGATCGCATTAAAATTATATTGAAATCGCGGCTTTGTCATAACATTTAAGTATTTTAATTTTTTGCTAACGCAGTTATTGAAACTATGAAACACCCAGCCGAAAAAATGTTAACGCGTAAAGCAGAGCCTTAGGGTGTTGTTGTGTGCAATAACATTCAACAACTCAACTTTCCCGGATATTCAACTCTCCCTAAACAACCATTTTATAGCTTCATAGTTTCTAGCACCGATTTGATTAAAAGCAAAAATGGATTCAAGCAGTTCGGCGAAACAACTGAGTAAACAAAGTGATCGATACATAATCAAAAAATTAAATAGACATATACTATGAGAGGATAAAATATAATTTGCAATATTAATGGTAGGTATAGTTTTTTTAATCAACTAGTGATTAAATGTTTTATGAACATCCTATAAAATTATAATTATGTACCTTTAACAAATTTCGCCAATTCTGACCCCACTAGTAGAACCCGTGCGTAAAACTATGCTCACTGTCGTAGTTGAACTCATCTAAAAGGTTTTTTAGCTGGAATAATAAATTATAATACAAGTTAGACATTCTGAAGATATCAAAATATTTACTTTTTTATTTTTATAATTTTCACAAATCACACATCCTTTCAGAATAATTCTATAATAAATTCTTCGTATAGTCGCTATTTAAATCCTCGTATTCGTATATGCCGATTGTTCGACGAATGATATTCTCCGATAGTGGCAGCACCGGCAGAAAATGCACCAAACCTATAAAAAAATAGAGTGGAATAAGCTAAGCTTCTATTAACGCAGTCCTCAGAAAATTTATATGGATTAATGACATATTTTACAGTTAATTAAGTTTAATATCTAAACCTTACTTATTTGGAGGAGAATTCTTTGAATTGTCTAACTTGAATTATATTGCCTCATTTCATGGAGGACTGCCGTTTATAAAACCCATTTACTCTTAAAAAAACTATTAAATTTACGATTTTCGCCAACTTTTAAACGGGAACGCGGTCAGGACATAAACGCAGAGCGGAACCGACTAAGAGAAAAGTTGCAAACGAATTGAAAAACTTCCTCGAAATCGAGAAAAAATGTAACAAAATGGGACCGAATAAAATCTATTTGATCGAGTTTTCAAAGTCGGTTGAGGGTTGCGGTAATTCCTTTTGATGGGATATTTTACAAAATGGGGAAGTTTTCAACTATGTAACTACCTGCAGGAAGTTAGGTTATTTTCTGAATTGGTCGCGAATTTGTTTATAACACCTTGTTAATGGATAAAAACATGCGATTGTAATTCTCGGCTGTTTATGATTTTTTAACGAAGCTCTTTTTTGAGAATAATATCGTCGGCTTTATGACGAAAAGTATCGTATCTCGATTTTTGGCAATTTTGAGATATCAACGTCATGACATGCCCAATGGGTCATATTTTAACATAGCGAATTTGCGCATCTCAATATTGTACCTTTTTCATTCTATATTCGTTTAAAAATGTGCCCCATCTCAAATACTACAATTCTTCGTTATGACGAAGAGACGTATGTTGAGATTGGGCTCTTTGTTATATCAATTGTTATACCAATTGTTATACTACAAGAAAGATGGAATTTGAGATATGTCCTTTTGTTTTCAGTTATGAAAATGCATGCGAGAGAAAATCTAACCATTCTACCTAATTATTTTCTGATGGTTGCTTGGCACAAAATAAAACTTCTATCAAGGCAGCAGCTCTCTTTTATAGTGTGATTTTGAGTCTGTTTTTTGCCAAGAACCATTGTTAGAATGAGCTAGACTCTGCACATAGCTGTATCAGGAATGCAATAGATTGTCCGAGAATAAATGGCCGAAGAAAAATTGATCGAAAGCAAAACAACGAAACGAAAATTGCCCTAATGGAAAAATTCCCGAAATTATAATTTCCCTAAGAACGTTTTAGCGAGCCAAAAACTTGCCCGAAAAATACAATAATTTTTATCTCATTATCATTGTCAGGCCATTGACATTGTCATCCCTGTCAATTTTTGGAAAATTTTATTTATTGTGCCATCATCATCCTGCATAAACACATAGAATGGAAGTCGAATTTGTTATAATTGAACAGGGAAAACAGAAACTGTTAGTTCACAGTTATTTGTATCAAAAAGGCACGAATGAAGAAACATGTTTTGTTTTTGTTTAGTTTGGTTTTTATTAAATGGACCGTGAGTTTAAATGCTTGTATTAATGCCCTCAATTAACTGAATAATTACTAAAAATATATTAATTAAAAAAATGTATTTTTGTATAAAAAACAATATTATTAAAATAAGCTAGATAAGTGTATTTTAACTGATTATTGTCTTTGCTTCTGGAATGAAAATTGTCTTTGTTTTCAGTTGATCTAATCCAACGCGAATAAAAGTATTTAAAAATGTTTGCTTCTGATGATTTTTTGGTGATTTTCAGATTTTTTCTGTATGTATGTATTGTATTTTTTTGTATGTATTCTTCTATAATGTGAATATTGTATTTTTTTTTCCTTATTAAGAACACTTTACCATCATGTTTAAATCTGTTTTACATGGACGTATGTATACTATTTGTTCGAAAATAAATTCATTATTATTATAACAAAAAGGCCTATCTCTATTAAATAACTAAAAATAAATTATTTATTAGAATTTACGCACAATTTATCTTCAGAACGTTTCCTCAATGTCTCCGTTGAAGTATTAATACAAAAACACTATTAAAAAATTAAAGGCTTTACATTTATTGGCCAAATAAAGTAAGTGATTTTCTTTAAATAGCTCTCCTGAAAAGTAGCAAAAATTGAGATACGCCTTTTCGTCATAAAGCCGACGATATGATACTTTAAAATAATATTCTGTGATGCCCAATATACAGTTTCAAAAGCTGATATTTGTGTCCTACATTATTTTTTTATTTGGACCCCCCCTAAAATAAATTTCTGTATCCGCCTCTGTTCGCCAATCAACTGGCAAATAATGAACCGCGTTTTCATTTCTTAAAGAAATACCCGATATTTTCTCAAGAAATGAACCACCATTATTTAATAACCACCCTTAACAACCTGGGATGCACGAAAATCTTTAGTTTACGAATAGATTTTGAGATGCCTTCGCATTATCTTTCGATTTTTAATAAAAGTCATCGTTTTTTTTACTGTCATTGACATCTTAATTATTAGATATTAATATATCTGGTGTTTTGGTATTCTCGTATAATAGAATGTAGAATGTAGAATGTTTAGGAGGGGAGTTAATCACCGCGACCTTATAGATCTATTGTGTGTTCCCCTTCCTTGGGTTATAACGAGTTATAACTCATAATAGAGTCTCAGGGCTTTAACAAAAGCCAGTATCTGAGACGGCTCCGCAGAAGCCAGCTCTCCATCCTCGACCAAAGTTCATGGCACGAACGGTCGTCGTCTCGGCGCACTCAGTGGTTTTGGTGCTTCCCCATTTTCCCCACAGAATCTGCATTCGCCGTCGTTTCTCAGCTTCAGCTTACTGAGATGTTCGTTGAGGAGACGGGGTCATGTTAGAAACCCCGTGACAATCCGAAGATTGTTTTTACTTAAATCAAGGAAACTCTTTAGTTTTTCTCGGTCGTAAGTTCTGAGGAACTATTTCGAGTGTCTTAGACCGTTGGAGGACACCCATTCGACGTTACGGATTGAGTCTTCCAGATTCTTCAGTTCCGCTTTCAGTCGGTGCCGGCTTGGAA